CTTACTTAAATCTTCTTTCTCCCAGGATAGAAGGAAATTCTCCTGGCGCACAACAACTTGCCTTTCAGAAGATTTTTAATTTCCAAGTAAATTGCTAATAAATAATTTCCAATGTTAATTAAAAGATGATGTGAACGCAAATCTAGTATCTCATTAGAGGCTCCAAACCGTGGCTTGAGCTCAATGTTTCCCACGATTCCCAGAGCACTCAATCTGCTAGAGATCACTAAATTGCGATTTCTTTACAGGGAGCCTCTGCAAGGAGTATTTGTGGGTGATCCAGTCATCTCCTTTGTCTGGAGATGGTTCTGAAGAGCTGGATTTTTCGCTGGCTCTTAACCACCGCAGTTAACGGCTCCACGAAAACAGAGCCATCTTCAATCTGCCATTATTCCCCCGGAAGTGAAATAATACATTATAAACTTGATGGAACTCTGAACAGATAAAAGATTCATCCGATAGCTCATCAGAAATATTATCATATATGTTTATAGAATTTAGAATATGCTTCCTTCAATTACTTTTAATGCATGCACAGCATGTTTTATTCACAAATCTTTCAATTTGCTCCTGATATCTATTGTCAAAACCACTGTTATATCTGGAACCAATTTGAAATCTGCACAGACTGGAGAAAAGAACTCCAGGTAGCAGAAGCAAGGGGATGAAACTCCCATTGCACAAGTAATTTTCAATTATATGATGTTCAATATAATAATAATGTTCCTAGAGATAAGGAACATGGAGTGAAAATTACAAACCAAGACATACAGAGTCTTTGGCGGAGATGGAATTAGAATATAATTTGTTAAATAAGATCTAATATTGATATGAATACAATGTATAATTAAGAATAATAAATGGGAAATGTAATGATTAATAAATTGATATACTATGAGAATGTGGCCATCAGTAACCACAATAAGCAATCCTAAATATAGAATTCATGCAGGTAATTCATAAAATACTTACAATTTACTCTCTAAATTAACAATCAAAATCTTACCATTTTTCCTATATGTAGTTCCAGTACATTCAGTGAGACCTATTCCACAGAAAGCATGTTCAGTATTGCAAACCTAATCAGATGTTGGTTTAAAAGGTGCTAGCATTTTATTCTAATACTTTTAGGCTTAAATTACATTGGGAAGTTTTTTCTCACCTGAGCATCAATAATTAATCATTTTTCGAACTGCATCATAGCACTTCCATTTGTCTGGGATATAGAATGGTTCAAAGATGTGAGGAAATGGAGTGTCATAACCACACACTCTTGTAATAGGAGCTTCTAGATTCAAGAAACATTCCTCCTGTTAAAATAAAACAGTAAGAAAGTAAGTGAAGTTTATACGGTCATTCTTCACATTTTAATACTTACTAAAATATCCCAAATTGACTTTCCTGAAATTTGAGATATAACCCTAGGAGAAAATTAATTCTAGCTTAATTTTTAAAAAAGCACTCCATGGAAAATCCATTGAAGTTATCTAAAAACAGAACACGCATAGGCAAAGCAACACATATCTGATCACCAGATACTTAAAACAAATGGAATGACAGTGGCTTATGTATTTTCCAAGAACATATGAGTAAGTTCTGCTAAAGACAAAATGCTGAACGAGAGCTCGTGCTTTTTTCCCAGAAATACAATCCCACATTCTTCATTTTCAATATACAGATTTTATTTGGAGAACCTAAATAAATAACCTGTCATGAAACATATTTTAGAAACAGTTCACATCTCTAATGTCACATTTACAATATCAAATAATATATGAGGAACAATGTGAAATCTGAACAGACTAGAGAACAGAACTCTGGGTAGTGGAAATAAGGGGGTGAAACTCCAGTTGTACAAGTAACTTTCAATTATAGGATGTTCAATTTCATCTAAAAGGATGCACTAAAAATTAATATTGAACATTCTAATATACTCATTCAAAATGAGTTTGAACAGAAGATGTTAAATCTTGTTCTGATTATGAACACTCCATTTTTTCTACTGCCTGAGTTAAACGACTGCCTTGATTAAAATTCTCTTGTGGAATGTTTGGGATCTCATCTGAAATTGCCCTACACATTTCTGTCTCTGACAGCTAAACTGCTTTATCGAGGTCATTATTGGGATGGGAAACTGACCTAAAGTCCCTGAATAAATGAAAGGATATAAATGAAATATGTTCATATAATCCTTTTTTTTGTTTTTGTTTTTACCCTCAATAAACAGAAAACAAGCAAGTGCTTAAAACCTAACTCTCATTATTTACATTTAACTCTTTCTTGAGCATGTAAATGTACTATAAAATTCAACAATCTGCTTCTTTTCCTGGTTCATATAAAATACTTATTCTTAATTTCAACATTTTTATAACTGTGTATGTCATTTTTATTAGGTTAGATTAATATGAATTTTTGCAGAATCTTAACACAACTATACTGTACAGTGATGTTCATTTTATGGTTAAGTACCTTACAATTTATCCTAATATGCTTATTAGCAAACAATTCTTTGTATACAGAACAAGCACAGAAACAGCAGATTATAACCCCAGATAACACCAATATTTTTATTAGACAATCCATTTCTTTCTGTGCATTTAAATGTATTTGAGATGGGCAAACTGCTTTGGGGCTGAAATGTTCCAGCCCCAAAACATTTGTTTTGACCTTGGACATCTGTTCTAAGGTAAAACTCCTGGAGTGGTTCTGGAAGACTACCAGAAGCTATTTAACTTGAAATGAGGCATTCCTATGAGGGTTCTGAAGTCAGAGTGCTTCCCTTAAGGTTGGGCCAGACATTCTGAACCTTGTGAAACACTACCAATAAGGGCAGAAGACAATAGGTTGGAATGAGATGCTGTGGGGCCATGATATTTTAACTATGTGTTAGAGATGTTTTAGATGCTTTGTGGGTCTCTGTGTGTTTGCATTTGTGCACATAAATATATCTAGTGTATATACTTTAGGAGGGCATTTCATTTCTGAGATCAGAGAAATGTATTATAATAACAAGAAAAGACTAAGACTCACATTTTGACATATTATTTAAATCTCATGTCATGTCTTTATTCACACATGTTTTTGATGTGTGAGTTGGTTTACTAGATGGGTACTATATGTTTATTTATGATTCAAGACTAATCATGAAAGTGATATACAGTAAATAAAAGAATCAATTTTTTTTTACCTATTTGCTTAACTATTTGGAGGGAGGATATTTATTTATTCATTTATTTATTGGTTTTAAAACCTGCCTTTCTTTTAGGAAGGCAGCATAGGGTTCCTGCCTCTCATTGTATCCCTGTAACAGCATCCCATGAAATAGGTTGGGCTCAGAAAGAGCGACTGGCCCATAGTTACCCAGGGAACTTCTCAGCTAAGGATGGACTTGAACTGGGTCTCTCTATTAATTAAAATGCAATTCTCAATTTCTCTGTAACTTCATTTAGCATTTTGTTAAGTGCCTTATGCACATTCATGGGAGAAGAGTGAGCCATAAATTTTAAAAAGGTATCACCACATTATCAATACCATATTACATTTCTAAGGCAAAATTATATTTCAAAGGTGAAGCAGAAGGGATATACTGCCCCTCTCCTTGTACCACTGATAAATCTTTTTCTGTTTCCTACACAAAACTGTATAAGTGTAGCAAATAAAGATAGGGCTGACATAAATTAGAAGCCAGTCCCATGGAATTATATATCTCTGAAATTACATTTAAGTTTGTAATTTGACATTACAGGAAGACTACTTGACTCAAAAAAGGCAAACCTTGCATTCTATTTTATACCTACTGAAAAATAAATTAATTTCTTTAAAATCAAAACTTCTTAGACTTAGCATTAACATATTTTAGAAACAGATTATGATTTGACCTTCATAGTTATTCTTTTACCAATCAATAAAAGTATAATGTAATATGCTATTTATTAGCATCTTTTAAAATTACTTTCTGTATACAGTTAATACATTACTTCAGTAAGATTTTTGGCTTTGGAATTGTAATCTAAGAAACTCAGTGTAAAGCCACAGTCCTGCAGACAAATAGAAGATTAGAAATAAAATTGCTACTCAAAAATTTAAGCATAGCAAAAAGTAAAAGCATAAAAAAGCCTAAATTGTCATCTGCCTGACAGAGTGCAGTACAAACACATATATAGGAACTTTCAGGAAGCTGTTTCCAAAACTATCTAGTGTCTTGGCAGCAAATTCTTCAGCATTTGTTCAACTAGTACTGAACAAGATTGAAGGTTTGAGTAATACCAAAGATAGCATCTAGTTTCCAATGATCCAGCTAGGAGAATCACAAACAAAGAAATTTCTGGTTCCAATCATGCTTCTTCAAAAATGTCATAAGGTAACCATGAGACTACCTCCCAAGGTCAGCCCCCCACTTACAACATGCAAGACTAAATGAAATAATATTATAAAGGTGAACCCTTTGTGCTGCAAGATTTCAAATAACATGCTATTCTATTTCAGAGTATTCTTTGATCATGAGGAATACATTTTTAGGGAGCCTAAAGTTCTACAAATATAAGAGGAGGAAGGATCCAAACAATTGAATGTATTAACATTCTTAACATTATATTCCAGTGGAAGGAAATTAAAAGATGAGCTAAAATCATGTGGAATATGAAGAGCACTGTATAAGAACCACACATTTTTTAGAAGAAATAGGGAACATAAAACCAATTTAGGGATGGCCATCACCAATGCAATGTTATATACTGCAAATCTAGTTGCTGCTACACGTTCCCACCTCTCTGTTCAACTACACTCCAGAACATTTTTCCTATTTCCAGTTTCCTCAGTATTTATAAAATCAATCTATATATTTGTTATAAAATATAGTGGTATAACCCCAAGTACATTCAAATACTCAGGATGAGTTTTATATGTAAAACAAGTTCTCTGCCCTTGACTACCATGTCCCATTATGCAGAGAATAT